CTCCCGCTTGCGGTCCGGACCCAGTGCTTGCAGTTCCGAGAGGGGCTTGAACTGGTGGAAGCACTGGAGGAAGAGCTGCACAGGGAGCGGCGGTGTTTTTTTTTGGCTGTTGCATGTCGTGTGCTGGGGGCCGCCGAGGGGCCGTCTTCCTGTTTGCTTTGCGTGATGCTGCAAGCCTGCCTGGAAGTGGACGTGCAGCACTCCGGACTTCTGGCTCTCGATGGACCCGAACACGGCGTCGATGCGGCCGAAGATGCCCCCGCAGGCCATGGCGTTGCTGCCGAAGGCGTCCGTGCAGGGTTTCTGGGAGTTGCCGCAGTCGGGGCAGTTGGGGCAGTAGCGGACGCCGAAGAGGTGACGCAGCGCCAGCTGCACGAGGGTGCGGAAGCCGTCCGCGCAGGCCACGGGATCCTTGGTGAGCAGGGCCCGCCGAGCGTCGTAGGGCGGCAGCTCCGCGGCGAGTGCTTCTGCGTTCAGGCTGTAAAACTCCACGTCCAGCTCCGGCTTGCTGCGCCCCTGGGCGGCTCTGGTGGTAGCGGGCTCTTGGCCGAGGCTGGGGTCGGATTGTCGCGCGCGGGCCAGGCGCAGCATCACCGCGTTGTCTCGCTCCGAGGGGGAGAAGGTCACGAAGAGCGGGGTGCCGTGGCAGATCCGATTGGCGTGGGTTTGGTGGCGCATGGTCTTTCTCACCTCGTGGGTGCCCGGGATGTTCCGGCTGCGGGCCTCCGTGTTGTCCAGGACCTGGCGCCGCTTTGATTTGAGGTTCTGCGTCCGCAAGGCTTCTGGTTGGTTCTTGGAAACTCACATGCTCTAAGCGCGGTTTCCCACGGTGCGTGTCACAGCGATTCCGTTCTACGTGTGGGGCTGAGGGCCGAGGTCGAGGTTCGCTCATTGCCTTGATATCGTGCGCTTATGCTTCGGCTCCGTGCCTTGAGGGCTGCTTGCGAGAGGTCGGAGGCAAAGCGCACCTTGCTCAGATCTCCGTTGATGGCCTTCACCTGGTTGTTGACGTCGCGGTACTGTCCCTTGCTCAACAGTTGCTGGATCTGCTTCATGCCTCCCGTGATCTCCTGGCTGGTGAGCGGCCGGAGCCCGTTGTTCTCGTCGGGGACGCTGTATATGAAGGCGTTCTGCTGCACGTTCACCATGGTCCTGAAGAGGTAGTTCCAGAGTGTGAAGCCGAAGGTCCAATCTCGTCGGAATTGGGTTTCGGCCCGCCGCTGCATGGCTGCCGCCCAGTCGTGGATCTGCACTTGGGGAGCTTCCGGGTTTCTGCTTCGGCGGCGCCCCTTTTGCCCCTCGTCGTTGCGGGGCGCCGCCTGGCTGTTCTGGACGTCCGGACAGGCGGTCCCGTGGGCGAAGCAGAAGCTGAAGGCCGTGGCGAAGTAGAGCGGCTGGAACTGGTCCACGAAGATGTTGCCGGTGCGCACCTCCATGGTCTCGAGGATCTTGTCGTTCTCCTGCTTGCTGCGGAGCTGATCTTCGAGGTCGTTGAGCGCGGCCATGGCGACGGCGTTTTGGTCTTCCCGGTCTTGGTTGCGGCCTTCCGGCACGACGGCTCGGGCTCGCTGGTCGGCGAAGATGGCGCCGGCTCGCTGCGCGTCCTGCTCCGGCGCGTCCGTCGGGGCTGCCGCCTTCTGCGGCTGCAGCTTGTGGGCGGTCTCGTCCTCCTCGCTCATGCCGCAGATAACCTTCAGCACCTCCGGGGGTACGCCGCCCTCCGGCAGCTGTGCCGCTGCCTCGCGCACGGCTGCCTCCCGCAGGTGTTGGAAGGCGGGATGCCCCAGGCGTTGCATGTCCAGGATGAGGTTCACGACCACCTCTCTCCGCACCGTCGCCTGGTGGAGCAGCGTCTTGATTTCGGAGTCGCTGGTCTTGCCCGTCCTGTTGGTTTTGAGGAGGACCCTCACTACGTCGCCGAGCGCCTTGCCCGCGCGTGGGAAGCTGGGCGCGGACGCCGCCTCTCCGCCGCTGGGTCTTGCTGCTTCTTGCTGCTCCTTGGCGACTTGTGCGTCGTGCGCCTGCAGGTTGCGCAGCAGATCTTCCCACGGCAAGGGGAAGGTGAGGGCGTTGCCCCGCGCTCCCAGGCGGTGGCTGGCATTCTGGGCTTTCTCGTCCAGGGTGGTTCCTTCGCTGCGGTGCCGTGCCTCCATGGACATGCAGATCAGCGTCGTGACGCAGGGGCTCGCGCAGATCATCTCCATGACGGTGACCTTCTGCTCGTGCAGGCGCGCGGGCGAGTAGCCGGTCCACATGTCGTTGCACAAGCTCAAGGGCGGCAGCTCGCCCTTGCTCAAGTGCTGCGCGCAGTCGCTGCAGAGGGGCACCTCGCAGTGCTCGCACAGGGTGTGCTGGGTCGGGTGCTGGGAATTGGCCTGGCAGCGGTGGTCCTCCGGACAGCATAGGATGTCGCCGAATCCGGGGATGGTCACGGTCCAGTCGTCGAAGTTGGCTACGTCCTTGAGATTCACGCCTCCGGCGAGGTCGTCGTAGCGCTCCAGGTACTTGTCGATGCTCAGGATCTTGTGCAGCAATTCCGTGCCCTCGACGTGGCTGTTGTCGTTGCTGCTGGGGCTGTGGAGGAGCTTGCGCCAGTGGATGCGCCCGGCGGCCTCTGTGTCGGCCACGCGCGGGTGGATGCACGCGCAGCTGAAGCAAATGAGCGATTCCACCTTGTCCCTGCTCGTGGCTTCGGCGAAGCTCCTCAGCGCGCTCCTGTCCCGCGAGCTCCCCGCCACGGGCGCGGCTTCTCTGCACCGCAGCGCCACGGCCTCGTTGTACACGCTGGCCAGTGCATCGGCCGGGACGGGCTTGGGCATGTGCTGCACGACGCTCTGCAGTGCCGGCCCGTGCGCCTGCTTGACGTGCTGGTGGAGCTGGTGTTCGGTGCCGGTGGCCGACGACCAGCTGCAGCCCTTGAAGGCGCAGAAGACCTGTGGCCAGGCTTCCCCGCTGTCGAGCTCCTCGGGCTTGGCTTCGGGCGGTATCAGAGGCTGGGTCCGCAGCTGGGCGTTTGCCAGGTGCTGGAGAGCGTCTTCCAAGTTCCGCCTGGGGTGGTTGCTGTCCGGTGCCACGGGCATGTTGGTTAGGTCCTCCAGCAAGCTGGGCCCTTCCTCTGGTCTGGACGGCGATGCCTCCGGATCCGATGCGGCTTTGCGTGCCTGGTCCGCTTTGCTGGTTCCGGTTCTGCTGCGCTTGGCTGGGCGGGGTTCCGGGTGGGGTGGTGGTGGCGGTGGCAGTGGTGGTGGTAGCGGCGGTTGCGTGTGGTCCTGGCTGGGCACCAGCACATCGTAGTGGTCCTTCCCGTTGTACCAGAGATGGATTGCTTGCATGATGTTCTGAAAGGCCTCTGCGCCCACTTCCGTGTGTGTGCGCTCGCTCGTGCGGATCTCGCCGTCGGACTCCCGCCAGTGCACAAAAGTTCGCTGTTGTTTCATGAGGGTGAAGGCCACGACGGCCGTGTCGCCGCCCCAGTTGCTCGGGTTGCTTTCGAGGTGTTCGGCTTCCTCCAGCCAGGTTTCCACTTGCTCTTCGTGCTCTTGGGAAAACGCGTTCTCTTTCAGGTACTGGATGATCAGGGATCGTAGGTGGACCCCGTCCTCGCCGCTTTTCTCCGCGAGCGCGTGGAAGAGGCAGTTGCCGTCGCCCGTCATCTTCTTCATGGTCAGCTCGCCCCCAAAGTGCTCCTGCCGGGTGCACTCTCCGTGTGGAGCCGTCGCTTGAACGGACTTAATTAATTAATGGACCCCCGAACGATGCAACCGGCCTCGATGCTGGGGCCGGGCTCCGATTCGTCGTCGGAATCCGGCCCGGCGCCTCCTCGTCGTGCAGCCGGTTCTGCGCGAAGTCGTCCAGCGGTGCTTCTTGCAAGCGTTGCTGGATCGTTGTTGTCGCTTCCGGTCGCGGCGGCCTTTGTTCTTTCGGCCTGCACAGCAGCACACGGTGCGAGAAAGGGTGCATGCATGCGGTTTCGAACTCTTCTGTGCGGCGCCTCTGCCCGCTGGAATGCCTGTTCCAGGGCTTCGTCGTCGTCGGCCGTCCATCGTGGCTGGCACTGCAGCGGCTTCTTTGGGGCCTGCAGGTCATGACGCGCACGGCTGGCAATTTTCTCTTTCTATGTCTCGTTTCGTCACACATTATTTAAGTCCTTGGTTGAATTTTGGCCGTAGCGCCTTCTGTCGTCGGCGTGTTCTTTGCCTTGCGCCGGAGGGCGTGGACGTGCCCCGCCGGGGCGCTGTTGTCGGGAAGGCTTTCCACGCCTCGTGCGTTCGTGCCCGTGTCTTCTCTCTGTTTCTATGTGAGGGTGACGGCAAAAGCTGTCAGCGTGCCTCGTCGATCTTGATTGTTCCGGCCTCGGTCGCGTAGGTTCGGTGCGCAGCTGCGAGATATTCATGCATGTGTCCACGGGCTGTTTGTGCGGAGGCTCTGGGGCAGGCACGGGCGTCAAAAGTGTGAGGCTGCACCTCCTTGCCAGGTAGTCCTTCTTGAACGCTTCGAACTCCCAGCCGATGGCCTCGTGGTTCGGTGCGTGGCTAAGGCCCGAAAGATTTCAGCAGGGGTGGTTCGTTTGCACGTGTCTGCGTGCGATCTCGCCTGTCCGTCGTCGTCTGTCATGTCGGCCCACCGTCGGCTGCTTTCGGGCTGCATGATGGTTTCACCTCCAGGGGCGGAAGGACAGGAGCGAATCGTGTTTTGCCTTCTTCAGTTCCAGTCCCCACGTGCCTGGGGGTTCTCGATTGGATTTGCTGTATATAGCTCGTCTGAGCACAAGATTGGCTGCGGCACACTGGTGGAAAGTCTGTCATAGCAGGGGCATGTTTCATGATCTGCTGCTACCGACATTATAATACTGCCTGAAGCTCCTGTGCTCTTGCTCGGTCTTTCATCCTGGTTGGGGTGAAACTGGCCGAGTGCCAAGACTACACTATGCACACATGGAAGCTTTTCTCAGTTTCGCCGTCGCACTGACCTGTACACTCAATGGCTGGGGTTTCCTGCACTGTCAATCATGTCCCACATGTCATGGGAAAGGACCAATGTGACCAGCTGCCCGTCTGACGCCGTGCACACTGCTTGGTTGCGGCTCTGCAGACGGCCTTGGGCTGCCGCGGCTAGGGCAGCGGATGTAGCAAGCTCTTCCATCTCCGGCAAAGGGTTTGACATGCCGGTGATTCGCAGCAGCTCGCCGCCGGCCACCGTGGTGAACACCACGTCGACGGCATTTCGTGCGACAGGTGTCAAGCTGCAGGTGACAACAAAGGGTGAGGGCACTGCACGGACGTAGACCTTTTCGGCAGGATAACTGTCTTCAGCTTCGAACACAGCAACCTGGGCATCTGCTGGATGCCATCGGACGAATCGGCACTGCAGCCTCTCCACGGGATCGGTGGAAAAGAAGAGCAGATGCCATCGAGGAGCTGCTTCAGTGGTAAAGGCCGCGCCGTCCGAGTCAATCAATGACCACGAGCCAGGACCGCCTTCCAAACACCGGCTCCACTCCAGACGGCGGCCGTCCATCTTGTGGGTGCTCTGAAGGAAAGGAAATGCAAACTTTGAAGCTGCAAGATACTGCTGCGGAACACAGGATGCAATGCTCAAGTAGCATCTGCAAGACTGGAAGCTACATGCTTCGACCTCCACACCTAGAAATACTCGTGAACGATGCTCGGGCCGAGCGTGTTTTCACACCTGCGGCTGTTGCCTTCCTTGTGAAACATCCCCAGCTGTATTTCGGCTGAAATACGGTATGTCTCTACCTGGAACAAAGAGGGAGCTTGCCAAATGGATTTCCTTCATAAAATGGACGGGAATAAAGATTGCCAGGTGGTTCGCGGGCTCCCAAGCCGGTTTCCTTCATAAACTGGACGGTGGTGAGGATTGTCAAGTGATTCGCAAGCTCTCCAAGCCGATTTCCTTCGTAAAATGGACGAGGATACAGATTGTCAGGTGGTGGGCGGGCTTTTCAACTGGACTCCGGAGGTCCTCGCGTAGTTGTACCTTGGCATTGGAAGGGAATCAACGTAAACATAAAGCAAATATGGCCTTGTCTAGTTGCTGTCAAGATGCGACCAAAGCCGTACCTTGGCTGCGGACATGTACATGAAGTCTGATTGCAGCCAAATTGCATTCCAAGGTGGTATACCTTGGCTGTGACGTGATGAATCAATGCATGTGCGGGAAAGTATGATGGTATGATGAAGCGTGAAGGTCTTTGAAGGCACCCCTTACCAGTGATATAGGAGGCTCATCTTGCATCTGCAGGGGCTCTCATCGCGGATGTATCTTCCTTAGGTCTTGGCTGGCAGCTTGGTTTGGAGCGGACCTGACGTACGACATGGAAGGGAAACTGCGAGCTTGCATGCGTGCAATTGCAGCTTAGTGGCCGTTTCTCATTGCCGTCCCTCTGGTAGTGCCTTGGCAGCGGCACAAAAAGGGCGGGATGCCAAGCTGTACCTTGGCTTCGGCAGGGAAAGCGCAAGCATGGCACAAGCCTGACGCAAGCACCCCCAGATATTGACACTATTTTCCTTGCCTCGGATAAGAATGTGCCAGAAAGAATCACCAAGACCCGGGAGTACGATTTGTTACGGATAAGAGAGTGCCAGAAAGAGCCCCGTAGAGCAAATTCCCCACTAGACGAAGCAATTCAGCAAGAGATGTCCACTCCTGAAGCCCCAATAAGCGAAACAATTCTGCCAAAGAATTTGGTTCCTAACGCCCCAATAAGCGAAACAATTCTGCAAGAGGTTTTCCGTCTAACGCCCCAATAAGCGAAACAATTCTGCAAGAGGTTTTCCGTCTAACGCCCCAATAAGCGAAACAATTCTGCAAGAGGAGTTCATTCCTGAAGCCCCAATAAGCGAAGCAATTCTGCCAGAGATTTTCCTGCCTAACGCCCCAATAAGCGAAACAATTCTGCAAGAGATTTTCCTTCCTAACGCCCCAATAAGCGAAACAATTCTACAAGAGATATCCGCTCCTGAAGCCTCAATAAGCGAAACAATTCTGCCAGAACCCCAATAAGCGAGACAATTCTGCAAGAGATTTTCCGTCTAACGCCCCAATAAGCGAAACAATTCTACAAGAGGATTTCATTCCTGAAGCCCCAATAAGCGAAGCAATTCTGCCAGAGATTTTCCGTCTAACGCCCCAATAAGCGAAACAATTCTGCAAGAGGTTTTCCTTCCTATGACCCCAATAAGCGAAATAATTCTGCCCGCCTTGGTTGTACCTTAGCAGCGGCGCAAAAGGAAGCTACCTTGGTCGGTACATGTAAGCGCCATGCAAGCACGAGAGAAGCGCGAGCTTGACCGAGCGCACATGTTTAGTTGCAGCCGAGTTGCTTCCACTGTCGTACCTTGGCTGGGACATGAAGAATGAACGCATGCACGAGGGAGCATGCTTGGAAGTTGGAAGTATGAGCATGACGAACGATCACAAGTACGATGGAGCATGAACTGGGAGTGTGAAGATCCCTGAAGGCACCCCCCGGGCAGAGTCATGATCCGCTTCCGGGATAGCCTTGTTTTAGAATACCTTTCGCGTTTCCGTAGCTGTTTCTGTTCGGAATGAACCAGCTTCACCCGCACTGGATACCCGATTTTGGAGTGAATCGGGACACCGGTAGTAACACGCACCCGCAAGCGAGTACATGCGTTCCCTTTTGCAGGTTAAACGGAAAATCCTGGCATCTGGCTTTAAAGCGCCTGGCTCAGGAAGGTATCCTCGGCCTTTTTAGGTATGTGGAGGCCGGTTCTCCAGTGATTGGCTGTGCTCCAGCAGTCGCTGTAGAGAGCCGCCCAACACTAGATTCCACAGGGATAGCTTAGAGGGTCCGCTCGGCTGCAAGCGGAGCGCCTAGAAACGCACTGTGTGTACGGCTTCGGTCCTGCGATTTTGGGGTTCGGTCCTCCCTTGCGAAGCCTAAATTGACACATGCTGTCAATATTCTGCGCCTTTTGGTCGTGTCTTTATGTGAGCTGCCGACTAAAGCCCCGAAATATTGACACTGCCTGTCAATCTTCCGTGCCTTCCAGCCGAAGAGCCCGCCCGGTGCGTCACACTCCCCGTGTGGCCGCGGTCCATACATTGACGCATGCTGTCAATATTCTGCGCCTTCTGGTCGTGTCCTTATGTGAGCTGCCGACTAAAGCCCCAAAATATTGACACTGCCTGTCAATCTTCCGTGCCTTCCAGCCGAAGAACCCGCCCGGTGCGTCACACTCCCCGTGTGGCCGTGGTCCGGACATTGACGCATGCTGTCAATATTCTGCGCCTTCTGGTCGTGTCTTTATGTGAGCTGCCGACTAAAGCCCCAAAATATTGACACTGCCTGTCAATCTTCTGTGCCTTCCAGCCGAAGAGCCCGCCCGGTGCGTCACACTCTCCCGTGTGGCCGTGGTCCGGACATTGACAGTGTCAATCTGGCGCCGGTCCGGTGTCAATCCGCGGGGCGGCCAGTGACACTGTCAATCCCGAGAGCGGCAGTGTCAATCTGAAGGCGGCCCGTGTCAATCTGGCGCCGGTCCGGTGTCAATCCGCGGGGCGGCAGTGTCAATCTGGAGGGGGGGGGGGCGGCAGGCAGTGTCAATCTGGCGCCGGTCCGGTGTCAATCCGCGGGGCGGCAGTGTCAATCTGGAGGGGGGGGGGCGCCAGATTGACCAATCTGGCGCCGGTCCGGTGTCAATCCGCGGGGCGGCAGTGTCAATCTGGAGGGGGCGGGGGGGGATTGACACTGCCGCCCTCGGGATTGACAGTGTCAATGTGGCACCGGTCCGGTGTCAATCCGCGGGGCGGCAGTGTCAATCTGGAGGGGGGGGCGCCAGATTGACACGGGCCGCCTTCAGATTGACACTGCCTGCCGCCGGGGCGGATTGACACTGTCAATCGGGGAAGGGGGGGGGGATTGACACTGCCGCCCCGCGGATTGACACCCCCCCCGCTCCAGATTGACACTGCCGCCCCGCGGATTGACACCGGACCGCCTTCAGATTGACACTGCCTGCCGCCCCCCCCCGATTGACAGTGTCAATCTGCCCCGCCCGGTTAACTTGACACTTCCGGTCAATCTTCCGTGCTGCAGCCCCTTGATATTGACACTTCCTGTCAATCTTCCGTGCTTCCTAGCCGGAAAGCCCGCCCGGTGCGTCACACTCCCCATGGGGCTGTGGTCGACTAGAGCCCCAAGAGATTGACACCTCCTGTCAATCTTCTCGGCCTTGCAGCCGGCCAGAGCCTAAAGATTGACACTTGCTGTCAATCTTCGTGCCTTCAGGACGTGTCTTTGTGTGAGTGGCCGACTAGAGCCCCAAGATTGACACTGCCTGTCAATCTTCTGCGCCTGTCTTTGTGTGAGTGGCCCACTAAAGCCCTTAGATATTGACACTTCCGGTCAATCTTCCCTGCTACAGCCCCTTGATATTGACACTTCCTGTCAATCTTCCGTGCTTCCTAGCCGGAAAGCCCGCCCGGTGCGTCACACTCCCCATGGGGCTGTGGTCGACTAGAGCCCCAAGAGATTGACACCTCCTGTCAATCTTCTCGGCCTTGCAGCCGGCCAGAGCCTAAAGATTGACACTTGCTGTCAATCTTCGTGCCTTCAGGACGTGTCTTTGTGTGAGCGGCCGACTAGAGCCCCAAGATTGACACTGCCTGTCAATCTTCTGCGCCTGTCTTTGTGTGAGTGGCCGAAGCAATTCTGCCAGAGATTTTCCTGCCTAACGCCCCAATAAGCGAAACAATTCTGCAAGAGATTTTCCTTCCTAACGCCCCAATAAGCGAAACAATTCTACAAGAGATATCCGCTCCTGAAGCCTTAATAAGCGAAACAATTCTGCCAGAACCCCAATAAGCGAGACAATTCTGCAAGAGATTTTCCGTCTAACGCCCCAATAAGCGAAACAATTCTACAAGAGGATTTCATTCCTGAAGCCCCAATACGCGAAGCAATTCTGCCAGAGATTTTCCGTCTAACGCCCCAATAAGCGAAACAATTCTGCAAGAGGTTTTCCTTCCTAACGCCCCAATAAGCGAAACAATTCTGCCCGCCTTGGTTGTACCTTAGCAGCGGCGCAAAAGGAAGCTACCTTGGTCGGTACATGTAAGCGCCATGCAAGCACGAGAGAAGCGCGAGCTTGACCGAGCGCACATGTTTAGTTGCAGCCGAGTTGCTTCCACTGTCGTACCTTGGCTGGGACATGAAGAATGAACGCATGCACGAGGGAGCATGCTTGGAAGTTGGAAGTATGAGCATGACGAACGATCACAAGTACGATGGAGCATGAACTGGGAGTGTGAAGATCCCTGAAGGCACCCCCCGGGCAGAGTCATGATCCGCTTCCGGGATAGCCTTGTTTTAGAATACCTTTCGCGTTTCCGTAGCTGTTTCTGTTCGGAATGAACCAGCTTCACCCGCACTGGATACCCGATTTTGGAGTGAATCGGGACACCGGTAGTAACACGCACCCGCAAGCGAGTACATGCGTTCCCTTTTGCAGGTTAAACGGAAAATCCTGGCA